GTTTTGTACGAGTCACACTTGGGACATTCTCTGTTTTGTACGAGTCACACTTGGGACATTCTCTGTTTTGTACGAGTCACACTTGGAACATTCTCTGTTTGTACGAGTCACACTTGGGACATTCTTTGTTTGTACGAGTCACACTTGGGACATTCTCTGTTTTGTACGAGTCACACTTGGAACATTCTCTGTTTGTTCGAGTCACACTTGGAACATTCTCAGTGTTTTGTACGAGTCACACTTGGAACATTCTCTGTTTGTTCGAGTCACACTTGGAACATTCTCTGTTTTGTACGAGTCACACTTGGAACATTCTCTGTTTGTTCGAGTCACACTTGGAACATTCTCTGTTTTGTACGAGTCACACTTGGAACATTCTCTGTTTGTTCGAGTCACACTTGGAACATTCTCTGTTTTGTACGAGTCACTTGGAACATTCTCTGTTTTGTACGAGTCACACTTGGAACATTCTCTGTTTGTTCGAGTCACACTTGGAACATTCTCTGTTTTGTACGAGTCACACTTGAAACATTCTCTGTTTTGTACGAGTCACACTTGGAACATTCTCAGTGTTTTGTACGAGTCACACTTGGAACATTCTCTGTTTTGTACGAGTCACACTTGGAACATTCTCTGTTTTGTACGAGTCACACTTGGAACATTCTCTGTTTGTACGAGTCACACTTGGAACATTCTCTGTTTTGTACGAGTCACACTTGAAACATTCTCTGTTTTGTACGAGTCACACTTGGAACATTCTCAGTGTTTTGTACGAGTCACACTTGGAACATTCTCTGTTTGTTCGAGTCACACTTGGAACATTCTCTTTTTTGTACGAGTCACACTTGGAACATTCTCTGTTTTGTACGAGTCACACTTGGAACATTCTCTGTTTGTTCGAGTCACACTTGGAACATTCTCAGTGTTTTGTACGAGTCACACTTGGAACATTCTCTGTTTTGTACGAGTCACACTTCTAACATGCTCTGTTTTGTACGAGTCACACTTGAAACATTCTCTGTTTTGTACGAGTCACACTTGGAACATTCTCAGTGTTTTGTACGAGTCACACTTGGAACATTCTCAGTGTTTTGTACGAGTCACACTTGAAACATTCTCTGTGTTTTGTACGAGTCACACTTGGAACATTCTCAGTGTTTTGTACGAGTCACACTTGAAACATTCTCTGTTTGTACGAGTCACACTTGGAACATTCTCTGTTTTGTACGAGTCACACTTGGAACATTCTCTGTTTTGTACGAGTCACACTTGGAACATTCTCAGTTTTGTACGAGTCACACTTAGAACATTCTCTGTTTTGTACGAGTCACACTTGAAACATTCTCTGTTTTGTACGAGTCACACTTGAAACATTCTCTCTGTTTTGTACGAGTCACACTTGGAACATTTCGTGTGTTTCGTACGAGTCACACTTGGAACATTCTCTGTTTGTACGAGTCACACTTGGGACATTCTCTGTTTTGTACGAGTCACACTTGGAACATTCTCTGTTTTGTACGAGTCACACTTGGAACGTTCTCTGTTTGTACGAGTCACACTTGGAACATTCTGTTTGTACGAGTCACACTTGGGACATTCTCTGTTTGTACGAGTCACACTTGGAACATTCTCTGTTTTGTACGAGTCACACTTGGGACATTCTTTGTTTGTACGAGTCACACTTGGGACATTCTCTGTTTTGTACGAGTCACACTTGGGACATTCTCTGTTTTGTACGAGTCACACTTGGAACATTCTCTGTTTTGTACGAGTCACACTTGGAACATTTCGTGTGTTTCGTACGAGTCACACTTGGAACATTCTGTTTCGTACGAGTCACACTTGAAACATTCTCTCTGTTTTGTACGAGTCACACTTGGAACATTCTCTGTTTTGTACGAGTCACACTTGGAACATGCTCTGTTTTGTACGAGTCACACTTGGAACATTCTCTGTTTTGTACGAGTCACACTTGGAACATTCTCAGTGTTTTGTACGAGTCACACTTGGAACATTCTCTGTTTTGTACGAGTCACACTTGAAACATTCTCTGTTTTGTACGAGTCACACTTGGAACATTCTCAGTGTTTTGTACGAGTCACACTTGGAACATTCTCAGTGTTTTGTACGAGTCACACTTGAAACATTCTCTGTGTTTTGTACGAGTCACACTTGGAACATTCTCAGTGTTTTGTACGAGTCACACTTGGAACATTCTCAGTGTTTTGTACGAGTCACACTTGGAACATTCTCTGTTTTGTACGAGTCACACTTGGAACATTCTCTGTTTTGTACGAGTCACACTTGGAACATTCTCAGTTTTGTACGAGTCACACTTGGAACATTCTCTGTTTTGTACGAGTCACACTTGAAACATTCTCTGTTTTGTATGAGTCACACTTGAAACATTCTCTCTGTTTTGTACGAGTCACACTTGGAACATTTCGTGTGTTTCGTACGAGTCACACTTGGGACATTCTCTGTTTGTACGAGTCACACTTGGAACATTCTCTGTTTTGTACGAGTCACACTTGGGACATTCTCTGTTTTGTACGAGTCACACTTGGAACATTCTCTGTTTTGTACGAGTCACACTTGGAACATTCTCTGTTTGTACGAGTCACACTTGGAACATTCTCTGTTTGTACGAGTCACACTTGGGACATTCTCTGTTTGTACGAGTCACACTTGGAACATTCTCTGTTATGTACGAGTCACATTTGGAACATTCTCTGTTTGTACGAGTCACACTTGGAACATTCTCTGTTTTGTACGAGTCACACTTGGAACATTCTCTGTTTGTACGAGTCACACTTGGAACATTCTCTGTTTGTACGAGTCACACTTGGAACATTCTCTGTTTGTACGAGTCACACTTGGGACATTCTCTGTGTTTTGTACGAGTCACACTCATTTGTTCCCTGTGTTTATTTCTTGAGATGATTTCGGGGCTTTAGTGTCCCCGCGGCCCGGTCCTCGACCAGGCCTCCACCCCCAGGAAGCAACCCGTGACAGCTGACTAACACCCAGGTACCTATTTTACTGCTAGGTAACAGGGGCATAGGGTGAAAGAAACTCTGCCCATTGTTTTTCGCCGGCGCCTGGGATCGAACCCAGGACCACAGGATCACAAGTCCAGCGTGCTGTCCGCTCGGCCGACCGGCTCCCATTGTTTCTATTGTTTTTTGGTCTGTTATTTCACTTTCGTCCTGTCCCTTTTTTTTCATTTTTCATCATCAGAGGCTATGAGGACCATCATTCTGGCGTTGTTTCCATAGACTGTTGTATAATCCACTTGTGTCTGGCCACCGGCTCACCTCTGCTTGTTATTGTTGTGTTTTAAGACTACGGTTTTGTTTTATTTCTTTATTTTGCCTTGATTGTGATGAAGAGGAAATAAATACCTGCTAATTAGCTAATAATTCCAAACAGAATTGACAAAAATTAAGATATATGAGAATCCTGGGAGAAACATGATAACATGGTTAAATGTATACTCTAATATGATGACACCTCCCTTATGTATTAAGCAATAAAACACATAGGCACTATTGCACAAGGTCCGTAACCTGCAGATAGGCTATGTGAGGTTGGCAGTTAACAGCCTATTGGTAGAGTATTCAAGGCTGGATTTTACAACCTACAGATAGACTATGTGAGATAACGAGTCGCAATAACGTGGCTGAAATATGTTGACCAGACCACACACTAGAAAATGAAGGGACGACGACGTTTCGGTCCGTCCTGGACCATTCTCAAGTCGATTGTCTTGAGAATGGACTTCGACTTGACAATCGACTTGAGAAGGGTCCAGGACGGAACGAAACGTCGTCGTCCCTTCATTTTCTAGTGTGTGGTCTGGTCAACATGTTGGCTGGATATAGTGTCCTAGTAGTGACCTTTACACAAGCATTTCCAGCCTCACACACCACAAACTTATCTTCCAATAACGAGAAAATAATTCACCATTTTGTACAATGACATTAGTTGTTAATCTTCTCGTTGGCATTTGCCTCGTGTAGGGAGGTTCAATTAAACACCGTACCAGAATACAGTATTGTATTAAGGGTGAGGACAGCATACAACAGTGACTATACACACTCTATTCTCGACCCTGACGCGACATTCTGGGAGGTCAGTAGCAGCGAGGTCACGTGTCCATGATACGTCAGAGGCCACGTGTTCATGACACGTCAGAGGTCACGTGTCCATGACACGTCAGAGGCCACGTGTCTATGACACGTCAGAGGTCACGTGCCCATGACACGTCAGAGGCCACGTGTCCATGACACGTCAGAGGCCACGTGTCCATGACACGTCAGAGGTCACGTGTCCATGACACGTCAGAGGCCACGTGTCCATGACACGTCAGAGGCCACGTGTCCATGACACGTCAGAGGCCACGTGTCCATGACACGTCAGAGGACACGTGTCCATGACACGTCAGAGGTCACGTGTCCATGACACGTCAGAGGTCACGTGCCCATGACATAGAATAGCATTAACGACCTTTATCAATGAGGGCATTAACCGTCAGGTTGAAAAGAGGTTCTTCTTTGTTAATTCTGCTTACAGGTGTGGTACAGGTGTGGGTGTGTGTACAGGAGTGGTACAGGGGTGTGTGTGTACAGGTATGGTACAGGGGTGTGTGTGTACAGGTATGGTACAGGGGTGTGTGTGTACAGGAGTGGTACAGGGGTGTGTGTGTACAGGTATGGTACAGGGGTGTGTGTGTACAGGTATGGTACAGGGGTGTGTGTGTACAGGAGTGGTACAGGTGTGTGTACAGGTGTTTGTGTACAGGTGTGGTACAGGTGTGTGTGTGTACAGGAGTGGTACAGAGGTTTGTAAAATTATGAGAATTATGAGTGTTTTGGAGACACAAGTCTTCAGTAATTTGTAATCATCTAGTTTAAACAAAAGAAAAATATATGTATATTTACCCTTATGAACGAATATATATATATATATATATATATATATATATATATATATATATATATATATATATATAGGATCAATGTAGAGGATCTAGGGAGGGTGGGTGTTCTCTCATGTATTTACCACCTATAATTATAATCTTTAAAATGTGTTCATAGTCATTTGTTCTTCCATTAACAAAGTGCTATAGGTTATGAAATATTAAAATCTGTTCATTGTTCATATATGAGTTATTTACAAAAGATGCACAATATATTTAGTTAAATGATTATCTCATGTATAATAGACTTAACAGATAATAATGTCAAAATATAACAATGTTTTCAATTTTGTTCACAAGGTGGGGAAGAACTAGAACATCTCCGCGCGCAGAACTGTTATCACCGGGGCTGTGTAGGGCTGTTTGCGTCAACCTCTCTTGTCTGCGTCACCGGGGGCGCTGTCTCTTTTTTGCGTCACCGAGGACGCTGACTCTTGTCTGCGTCACCGAGGACGCTGTCTCTTGTCTGCGTCACAGAGGACGCTGTCTCTTTTCTGCGTCACCGACGACGCTGACTCTTGTCTGCGTCACCGGGGGCGCTGACTCTTGTTTGAAATGGTTCATTTCAATATGCTCATATCTCAGCTAACTATGCTCATGTCTCCACTCACTATGCTCTTAACTATGCTCTCTAGACTGTACTCACTATGCTCCGAGAAGAAACTACCTTGACTCACCAAGATATCTCACCACTCGTGTGTAACCAGACACAGGTGTGTAGTGACGAGAGAGTCCCCACACACCTGGCTCCCGGTAATGTCCATGTGTTTACAGGTGGCGAAATATGCCATCGACACCAACTATGCTCCACTCACAACTATTCTTCATCGACAATTATGCTCCACCCACAACTATGCTCCACATATAACCATGCTCCACCCACATCTATGCTCCACATATAACCATGCTCCACCCACAACTATGCTCCACATATAACCATGCTCCACCCACAACTATGCTCCACATATAACCATGCTCCACCCACAACTATGCTCCACATATAACCATGCTCCACCCACAACTATGCTCCACATATAACCATGCTCCACCCACATCTATGCTCCACATATAACCATGCTCCACCCACAACTATGCTCCACATATAACCATGCTCCACCCACAACTATGCTCCACATATAACCATGCTCCACCCACAACTATGCTCCACATATAACCATGCTCCACCCACATCTATGCTCCACATATAACCATGCTCCACCCACAACTATGCTCCACATATAACCATGCTCCACCCACAACTATGCTCCACATATAACCATGCTCCACCCACAACTATGCTCCACATATAACCATGCTCCACCCACAACTATTCTCCACATATAACCATGCTCCACCCATAATTATGCTCCTCATACAACTATGCTCCACCAACAACTATGCTCCACCCACAATTATTCTTCATCCACAGCTATACCAACAACTATGCACCATATAGTAACTATGCTCCACCCATAACTATGAAAATTTTTAGTCGTGAGAAGAGAGAAAGCGAAAGAGAGATTATGTGAGACAGAGATTGAGAGTGTGAGAGACATTAGTGACTGAGGAGTTTGATCATTAGCTAGTCAGACAAGGTAAATCCCTCAACTGGCGGAGGCGCTCGTATCATCGGGGTCTCCATGACCATATGCAGGCGATGAGTCACAATAACGTGGCTGAAGTATGTTGACCAGAGACTACTTAACTTAACTAAAGACACAATCGACTTGAGAATGGTCCAGGACGGACCGAAACGTCGTCGTCCCTTCAACTTCTAGTGTGTGGTCTGGTCTCCATGACCATAGTTCTGCCCGAGCAAAACACTGCCCCTGGCTCATCCTTAATCCTCACTAAAAACTCTAATAATAACCGAATAATATTTCACCGTAAATTGTTCTCGCCACCTTTACAGACAAGGAAGGATAGACGTCTAGGCCACGATATACTCTTTTTTTTTATAATGTACACATATATACATAAACACATTTGAACATGGTTTCCATGTACACAAGTGAAGAACTCCCACAAGGGCTTCCGAGAGAACTTTGACGCATCGTTATCGGTATGTTACTGCGTCCCCAGGAAGCCACTTCAGCGGCAGTGGCCGCAGATGTCACATGTAACAATGGAACGGTGGTTCCCAATACCATTCAGCGACTGGGGATGCCAGTCTAAATGAGCAAGACTGGAAGAGGCAGCCAAAAAACAAAGAGAATATTGTTTCCTGGTTGCGCTGTGGGAGAGCTTCAGGCCTCACTATATACAACTTCTATGAAAACACCTCTACTATTACACTAGTAGATCAGGACCAAAACAAACATTGTGTTTCACAAGTAAAATAACCTACAAGACTCTTAAGCTCGATTGTGACGTCATGAGGAGCATGGCGTCAAGAAACAGCAGAGGACAGGAAAGGTTGCGCCCGGGTGATCCCCCGCGGGAGGCCTCTCAAGCTCTTGCTGGTGATTGCGAACGCTGGGAGACAGAAGCGGCCACTATACGAAGTCAATGAACTGTGCGACGGGAGAACCTTCGTCATCACACACAGGTGGAGCTCGACGATACACATCGACCCACATCAAACACCTACCTCCATCTTCCCATCTTTACTACCTCCTCCCCCTTCCTCCTTCTCGTCTCCTTCCCCTCCTCCTTCCTTCCCCTCCTCCTTCCTTCCCTCCTACTCATTTTCCTCTTTACAATGTTCATTTTGAGGAAATTCTTACCAGGGGAAGTTCTTTAGTTATGTGCTCAGCTTAACTAAAGACTCAATTAACCTAAAATTGCTGAGGAAAAAGTGAGGATGAGAAGCGCCTCAAGAGGCAGTTGGGAGTGTGAGAACGCTCGCCTGAGTCGCCACACAACACACACATGCCCACACAACACACACATGCCCACACATTTCCAAAATAAAAGATTAAACAGTTATAGATGAGATAAACTAGGTCGTAGCAAATGAGTCTCGTCAAACAGATCAAAACATAAACTTGAAACAAGTAAAACAAACAATTCCCCGAGCAACGGTTGCCACGATTGGACACTAGTGTGACGTCCCAACAATCGACGCACTTGTAACGTCGTGTGCTGCGTCGAACCCTGGTGTGAGTTGTGCTAGACGGAGGTGCTCCCGTTGTGCCAGCTCCTAGAGGGGGTTACTGCAGCCACGCTACAAGTGGCTCTGAGGTCAGCAGCTGTGCTGAAGGAGGAGGAGTCCGCTGTGCAGATGCCAGGAAGGCGCAGGAGGAGGAGGAAGGCGTGTGCAGGCCGCATCAGAGAAGCAGGAGTAACAGGTTTAGCAAGGTGAAGGCTGCCCTCGACACATGTCTCACCGCCCCGCCGTCTACCACACCTGTGGCGGGAAACGTGAAGCATGAGCTCACCCCACGGGGATATACAGCAGAGATTACTTGTAATACTAAATGCTATATAGCACACTAACTCCCGAGCGTGGGAGTCAGCACCTAACTCACCTTGGTACACTAGTCACATCAGTTGTCTGATCCTAGTGGAGTGGATACGAGCGGGAAGACGAACACCCACCTGCGGCCTGACCACAGCAGCCAAGTGGATAGACTCACCACCTACAGTCTGATACGAGTGGACTGTAGATAGATGAACACCTACCTGATATGTGGTGAGAGTGGCGACGATAGCAGCTGGACTTATAATCTAGTTCGATTTGACTATGAGTAGATGAACACCCACCTGCGGTTTGGTCCTCAAGGAGAGCGGGTACAAGCGGGTCGACGACAACACCGCTGTGGTGGACGTCCTCCTTGTAGAGGGGGTGGATGGAGGCAGCACAACGGAGGGTGACGCGGTCGTGCACGAAGTGCCACCGCTCCGCGCGGAACTGCAGGCCAAGACGCGCCTCGAACCTGCCCAGGTGGTCGACGGTGGCCGGATACTGTGCCAGGTAGTCCTGCGGAGCCTGTAGTGAGCGTGAGTAAACAGGAAGTGAACAGCCTGCTGTTATACCACATAACAGGAGCAGGACATCTGCTGTAACCTCTTGACCTAACAGAATAATGACCTTGAATCAGCTTTTGCTTCTTTATCAAGCATTTCTCCCAACCATCAGGTGGACAGAGCATAAAATTTTGACTACGATGTAGCAAAGCACCAAGTTAGGAGAATACTATTTACATAAAGTTTCACATCAAAATATTGCACCAATTCAGATCAAATAAAGTTTGAGAATGCCCTTATGTACAGGGAACCGTATCAACAAATAAAGGCAACTCTCAGCTTGGTATTACTCAACTCCCAGGATTACTAAGTTCCCAGGGATTACTGAAATCCCAGGGATTACTGAAATCCCAGGGATTACTGAAATCCCAGGGATTACTGAAATCCCAGGGATTACCAGAAGCGACACCAAGAGTGAAAGTGACCATATATCGGACATTCCCTCCCTCCAAGACCAACAAGATTACACGGTAGTATCTCGGATCATTTCATATTGATGTCTATTATTAACCCACTGAAGTGAGCTTGTGTGTGTGTGTGTGTGATACTATACAGAGTGAGAGATTAAGCTGAGAAACAAAAGTTTGTAACTGAGAACGAGAGCAGGAGGTGGAGATAGTGAGAGTAACGGAGGGAAGGACTCGGGTGACCTACCTCCTGGTCGTTGATGAACCAGGTGAGGGAGGCTGGGGGTATGGACCTGGGGGCGCTGCAGGTGAGGTTGACCAGGTCACCCAGGCGGTACTCCATCTCCCCTCCCGTCACCTCAGGTGACCCATGGGGCAGTTCTGTACAACCAAACATTGGCACAATTATAAATATACATAGTTGCATGATTAATATCATTATTAACTTTATTACTTTTTAAATATTTTTATTAGAAATAATAATAATTTATTATAAATCAAGTGGCCTTCTGTTCGTCCAGGCCGTCCTCCTAAGGTTCCACAACGTCAAGAAAGCGGTCAATGTGAAGTGCCCTCTTCTAACCTACCAGAGGACCCATAACAGAAAACGGGACAGTACGTTACTTTCGCCACCCGCTTCTATTTTTTTAGTGCGACAATTCTTGGCCATATTTAACGCATACGAACGAAATGCGACGTTCTTTGTAGGAAGACAGGTTGCCTACAAATTAAAGTGCACTCACTTTAATTTTTAGGCAAGTGATAGTTACTAATATCAGCTTGGTAAGGCAACTCTCAGCTCTCTTAACTGTAGCCTCTGTTTAACGCAACAGTAAAATGTGTACTGGGATGAAAAAACGATTCTTCGCGGCAGGGGATCGTATTCCAGGGACCATAGGATTAAGGACTTGCCCGAAACGCTACGCGTACTAGTGGCTGTACAAGAATGTAACAACTCTTGTATATATCTCAAAAAAAAAAAAAAAAAAAAAAAATATCCTGTGACATCAGTAAAAATAATAAAAACTGCTGCTTCAGGCATGGCTCAGGACCCACTGTTTCTTCATCTATGCCTCAGAATGCCAGAACAATGAAGGAGAGAGGAGTGAAGGGGACGCCACTTATTCCCTCCTCAATACGTAACAACGGAAGATTGCCTCATGTCTCCGAAGATGGGCAAAACCTCCTCCATTATCAACACTTTCCTTCCCTGTCAGCCTTCGACAGCATCAGAGGGCACCCTGTGTGTTTCTCTAAAAAAAAATATTATGAAAATTTTCTTCAACCACTCCAAAGCATTTTCTGCATAATTTATTGGATTGGGTGAGTTGCCTTACATAGTCTTACCCAAACATACATGAATCACGCCACTGATTATGTACAGCCGGCCTCGGGTGAAAGGGGGCTGTGACGATCTCTGTCTGGAACCTGTAGGTTCGGGACCGGGACGTCCACCTCCTGGGGCTCGTGCGGCCAAGGCTCTGCTTCAGGAGGCTGGTGTAGTTCTTGCCCTTGCTGGGGGAGGTTCTTCTCAGGCGCCGTCCACGGCGGTCTCCGGGTTTAGAGTCCCTGTGCCTTCTTTTACTAACTTCTTGGTCATCTCCGGAGCTGGAGTTTAAGGGCAGTTCGCTGTTGCCTTCAACCTCGTTCTGACAGCTCCTGCGACGGCGCTGGAACCAATCGTATTGGCGGTTGCCTTTCCATTGGAGACTTTCGGCGCCATGGAGTGGGGGGGGGGGGACCTGCTGCATGGGTAACAGCTTCTCCTCCGTACCAAGAGACCCTGGCTTTGTGCCCTGGAGAGGCCACTCCAGAGCGCAACTCCATAGTCTCCCGAGACCGACGGATGCAATGCAACAAACATGATTTCTTCTTTCAACTTAGATGCTAATATATATATATATATATAATACATAAAATAATATTTCACTTTGATATTGGCCGTTATATAATTATGCATATGTATAATGAATACTATACGTCACTTGTATATTTATTGGTTATCAAACTTTATTTAACGCCTCATTGCCTGTTGAAAATGAGTTTGCATACGCGATGAGTGTTTATAATTTATTACTAATTATAAATACATTAAAGTGATTTTGAACAAACCGGATGTAGAGAGAAGGGAACGATGCCCACCCTGGGGTGTAGAGAGTAGGGAACGATGCCCACCCTGGGGAGTAGAGAGTAGGGAACGATGCCCACCCTGGGGTGTAGAGAGTAGGGAACGATGCCCACCCTGGGGGAGTAGAGAGTAGGGAACGATGCCCACTCTGGGGGAGTAGAGAGTAGGGAACGATGCCCACCCTGGGGTGTAGAGAGTAGGGAACGATGCCCACCCTGGGGAGTAGAGAGTAGGGTACGATGCCCACCCTGGGGGAGTAGAGAGTAGGGTACAATGCACACCCTGGGGGAGTAGAGAGTAGGGAACGATGCCCACCCTGGGGGAGTAGAGAGTAGGGAACGATGCACACCCTGGGGTGTAGAGAGCAGGGTAAGGTGCCCACCCCAGGATGAATATATATTATATTTCAGTTTGTCCCTGCCATTGGTGCCTGCTATCTTGTCCTGTTGCTTCACTTCTCATTGTCTTGAGTTTATGTCCCTTTTTGTCCCTTTTTCATTGTGTGTGTCTGTGTGCACTTTCTCTTTCTCTCTCCCATTCTGAAGGCGTGGCTCCCGCTTCTTAAGATAGTGGAACAGTTGATCCGTCGCTCACTCTCCGCTGCCTGCTCCACTGACTCACCTGGCTAGTAATCACCCACCTACATCTGTTTGACCCTGCATCATTACTCTCTTCTCTGTTTATGCTCCGTCTTTCTTATTTTCCTTTCTTTCCTTTACCTTTTCCCCCTCCTCTCCTCGTCTTCCTCTCTTCCCCTCACCTTCCTCTTCTCCCCTCACCTTCCTCTTCTCCCCTCACCTTCCTCTCTCCTCCCCCCTCTCACAATTTCCCCCTCAGCTTCATCAAGTGCTTCTAAAGACTCGTCAAAGTCGCTGCATGATTCTAGTCTCCTGTTCCTTATACCCTCCCCCTCCCCCTCCCCTTCCTCCCCCTTCCCCTCCCCTCCCCCTCCCCCCCTCCCCCTCCCCCTCCCCCTCCCCCTCCCCCTCCCCCCCTCCCCCCTCCCCCCCTCCCCCTCCCCCTCCCCGCCTCCCCTACTCACCGACAACGTTCATGACGTCAGACTTGACCAGCGTGCGGAAGAGCGGCGCCTCGGTAAGGACCTCACACTTGTACCTGCCGCCGGCCTCCAGCGTCACCTTCTGCAGGCGCACCCTCTGGTGGTCGCTCTGGGCCACCTGCGGGCGGAGGGAGGAAACTATCAGGGGGAAAGCACCAAGCCATTACGACTATATATCACTTGGATTGGGTCAGGATAAGGATTTGGGATTGGATGGGGGGTGGGGGAGAGGAATGGTGTCCAACCACTTGGACGGTCGGGGATTGAACGCCGACCTGCATGAAGCGAAACCGTCGCTCTACCGTCCAGCCCAAGTGGTTAATGACAGACTTAACAGCCTAATTAACATTTAACAAAATTGAAGCCGAATCAGGTGCCCTTTGTCACGTAGTTAAGGCTTTGACTCCCCTCGTATGAGTCAGAATCACTGACTCTCATACGAGGGGAAACACTTGTATACACACACTAGTCTCCTGGAGTCAGATTCACCAAGCAGTTACGCAAGCACTTACGAACGTGTACATCTTTCCTCAATCTTTGATGGTTTTGGTTATATATATTAAACAGTTTACAAGCATGAAAACTTCCCAATTCAACTGTTGTTATTGTTATAAACAGCCTCCTGGTGCTTCGGAGCTCGTTAACTGTTTAATAATTGTAAACTGAGCCGCCAAAGATTGAGAAACGTTGTACAGGTTCGTAAGTGCTTCGTGAATCTGGCTCCAGGTCTAAGCTTCGTGAGCACGAACTGGGTACACTAACATTATTATTTTTGTATTTATATATATTCAAGCGTTCTTACATTCTTGTACAGCCATTAGCACGCGTAGCGTTTCGGGCAAGTCCTTAATACGAATTTTCACACACGCACACACACACACATTCCCAGGAAGCAGCCCGTAGCAGCTGTCTAACTCCCAGGTACCTGTTTACTGCTAGGTGAACAGATGCATCAGGGCGTAAGAAACTTTGCTCATTTGTTTCCACCTCCGCCGGGGATCGACCCCCCGGACCCTTAGGACTACGAACCCCGAGCACTGTCCACTCAGCCGTCAGACCCCGGATCCGGACAGTGGGAATAACAGAGTTAACATTCCCATGTGCGAATGGGTGTGGGCGGCATAGAGGTGGGTGGGTGTGGGCGGCATAGAGGTGGGTGGGTGTGGGCGGCATAGAGGTGGGTGGGTGTGGGCGGCACAGAGGTGGGTGGGTGTGGGCGGCATAGAGGTGGGTGGGTGTGGGCGGCATAGAGGTGGGTGGGGTGTGGGTGGGTGGGTGTGGGCGGCATAGAGGGGGTGGGTGTGGGCGGCATAGTGGTGGGTGGGTGTGGGCGGCATAGAGGTGGGTGGGTGTGGGCGGCATAGAGGTGGGTGGGTGTGGGCGGCATAGAGGTGGGTGGGTGTGGGCGGCATAGAGGTGGGTGGGTGTGGGCGGCATAGAGGTGGGTGGGTGTGGGCGGCATAGAGGTGGCGGCATAGAGGTGGGTGGGTGTGGGCGGCATAGAGGTGGGTGGGTGTGGGCGGCATAGAGGTGGGTGGGTGTGGGTGGCATAGAGGTGGGTGGGTGTGGGTGGCATAGAGGTGGGTGGGTGTGGGTGGCATAGAGGTGGGTGGGTGTGGGCGGCACAGAGGTGGGTGGGTGTGGGCGGCATAGAGGTGGGTGGGTGTGGGGCGGCATAGAGGTGGGTGGGTGTGGGCGGCACAGAGGTGGGTGGGTGTGGGCGGCATAGAGGTGGGTGGGTGTGGGTGGCATAGAGGTGGGTGGGTGTGTGGGCGGCATAGAGGTGGGTGGGTGTGGGCGGCAGAGAGGTGGGTGGGTGTGGTGGGCGGCATAGAGGTGGGTGGGTGTGGGCGGCATAGAGAGGGTGGGTGGGTGTGGGCGGCACAGAGGTGGGTGGGTGTGGGCGGCATAGAGGTGGGTGGGTGTGGGTGGCATAGAGGTGGGTGGGTGTGGGCGGCATGGGTGGGGTGTGGCGGCGAGGTGGGTGGGTGTAGGTGGCATAGGTGGGTGGGTGTGGGCGGCATAGAGGTGGGTGGGTGTGGGCGGCATAGAGGTGGGTGGGTGTGGGCGGCATAGAGGTGGGTGGGTGTGGGCGGCATAGAGGTGGGTGGGTGTGGGCGGCATAGAGGTGGGTGGGTGTGGGCGGCATAGAGGTGGGTGGGTGTGGGCGGCATAGAGGTGGGTGGGTGTGGGCGGCATAGAGGTGGGTGGGTGTGGGCGGCATAGAGGTGGGTGGGTGTGGGCGGCATAGAGGTGGGTGGGTGTGGGCGGCATAGAGGTGGGTGGGTGTGGGCGGCATAGAGGTGGGTGGGTGTGGGCGGCATAGAGGTGGGTGGGTGTGGGCGGCATAGAGGTGGGTGGGTGTGGGCGGCATAGAGGTGGGTGGGTGTGGGCGGCATAGAGGTGGGTGGGTGTGGGCGGCATAGAGGTGGGTGGGTGTGGGCGGCATAGAGGTGGGTGGGTGTGGGCGGCATAGAGGTGGGTGGTGTGTGGGCGGCATAGAGGTGGGTGGGTGTGGGCGGCATAGAGGTGGGTGGGTGTGGGCGGCATAGAGGTGGGTGGGTGTGGGCGGCATAGAGGTGGGTGGGTGTGGGCGGCATAGAGGTGGGTGGGGTGTGGGCGGCATAGAGGTGGGTGGGTGTGGGCGGCATAGAGGTGGGGGGTGGGTGAGGTGGGCGGCATAGAGGTGGGTGGGTGTGGGCGGCATAGAGGTGGGTGGGTGTGGGCGGCATAGAGGTGGGTGGGTGTGGGCGGCATAGAGGTGGGTGGGTGTGGGCGGCATAGAGGTGGGTGGGTGTGGGCGGCATAGAGGTGGGTGGGTGTGGGCGGCATAGAGGTGGGTGGGTGTGGGCGGCATAGAGGTGGGTGGGTGTGGGCGGCATAGAGGTGGGTGGGTGTGGGCGGCATAGAGGTGGGGGTGGGTGTGGGCGGCATAGAGGTGGGTGGGTGTGGGCGGCATAGAGGTGGGTGGTGTGGGCGGCATAGAGGTGGGTGGGTGTGGGCGGCATAGAGGTGGGTGGGTGTGGGCGGCATAGAGGTGGGTGGGTGTGGGCGGCATAGAGGTGGGTGGGTGTGGGCGGCATAGAGGTGGGTGGGTGTGGGCGGCATAGAGGTGGGTGGGTGTGGGCGGCATAGAGGTGGGTGGGTGTGGGCGGCATAGAGGTGGGTGGGTGTGGGCGGCATAGAGGTGGGTGGGTGTGGGCGGCATAGAGGTGGGTGGGTGTGGGCGGCATAGAGGTGGGTGGGTGTGGGCGGCATAGAGGTGGGTGGGTGTGGGCGGCATAGAGGTGGGTGGGTGTGGGCGGCATAGAGGTGGGTGGGTGTGGGCGGCATAGAGGTGGGTGGGTGTGGGCGGCATAGAGGTGGGGGGGTGTGAGCGGCATAGAGGTGGGTGGGTGTGGGCGGCATAGAGGTGGGTGGGTGTGGGCGGCATAGAGGTGGGTGGGTGTGGGCGGCATAGAGGTGGGTGGGTGTGGGTGGCATAGAGGTGGGTGGGTGTGGGCGGCATAGAGGTGGGTGGGTGTGGGCGGCATAGAGGTGGGTGGGTGTGGGCGGCATAGAGGTGGGTGGGTGTGAGCGGCATAGAGGTGGGTGGGTGTGGGCGGCATAGAGGTGGGTGGGTGTGGGCGGCATAGAGGTGGGTGGGTGTGGGCGGCATAGAGGTGGGTGGGTGTGGGCGGCATAGAGGTGGGTGGGTGTGGGCGGCATAGAGGTGGGTGGGTGTGGGCGGCATAGAGGTGGGTGGGTGTGGGCGGCATAGAGGTGGGTGGGTGTGGGCGGCATAGAGGTGGGTGGGTGTGGGCGGCATAGAGGTGGGTGGGTGTGGGCGGCATAGAGGTGGGTGGGTGTGGGGGTGTAGGCGGCATAGAGGTGGGTGGGTGTGGGCGGCATAGAGGTGGGTGGGTGTGGGCGGCATAGAGGTGGGTGGGTGTGGGCGGCATAGAGGTGGGTGGGTGTGGGTGGCATAGAGGTGGGTGGGTGTGGGCGGCATAGAGGTGGGTGGGTGTGGGCGGCATAGAGGTGGGTGGGTGTGGGCGGCATAGAGGTGGGTGGGTGTGGGCGGCATAGAGGTGGGTGGGTGTGGGCGGCGGCATAGAGGTGGGTGGGGTGTGGGCGGTAGAGGTGGGTGGGTGTGAGCGGCATAGAGGTGGGTGGGTGTGGGCGGCATAGAGGTGGGTGGGTGTAGGTGAGCATAGAGGTGGGTGGGTGTGGGCGGCATAGAGGTGGGTGGGTGTGAGCGGCATAGAGGTGGGTGGGTGTGGGCGGCATAGAGGTGGGTGGGTGTGGGCGGCATAGAGGTGGGTGGGTGTGAGCGGCATAGAGGTGGGTGGGTGTGAGGCGGCATAGAGGTGGGTGGGTGTGGGTGGCATAGAGGTGGGTGGGTGTGGGCGGCATAGAGGTGGGTGGGTGTGTGGTGGCATAGAGGTGGGTGGGTGTGGGCGGCTAGAGGTGGGTGGGTGTGGGCGGCATAGAGGTGGGTGGGTGTGGGTGGCATAGAGTGGGTGTGTGTGGGTGGTTCATAGAGGTGGGTGGGTGTGGGCGGCATAGAGGTGGGTGGGTGTGGGTGGCATAGAGGTGGGTGGGTGTGGGTGGCCTAGAGATGGGTGGGTGTGAGCGGCATAGAGGTGGTTGGTTGGGTGTGGCACAGCAGGTTGGTGGGTGTGGGCGGCACAGAGGTGGGTTGGTGTGGGCGGCATAGAGGTGGGTGGGTGTGGGCGGCAATAGAGGTGGGTGGGTGTGGGCGGCATAGAGGTGGGTGGGTTGTGGGGCGGCATAGAGGTGGGTGGGTGTCGGCATAGAGTTGGTGTGGTTGGGGGCGGCATAGCGGTGGGGTGGGTGTAGGTGGCATAGAGGTGGGTGGGTGTGGGTGGCCTAGCGGTGGGTGGGTGTAGGTGGCATAGAGGTGGGTGGGTGTAGGTGGCATAGAGGTGGGGTGGGTGTGGCGGCATAGAGGTGGGTGGGTGTGGGCGGCATAGAGGTGGGTGGGTGTGGGTGGCATAGAGGTGGGGGGTGGGTGTGGGCGGCACAGAGGTGGGTGGGTGTGGACGGCATAGAGGTGGGTGGGTGTGGGTGGCATAGCGGTGGGTGGGTGTGAGCGGCATAGAGGTGGGTGGGTGT